GGTGCGCGCGTGGGTGGGTGCGTGGGTGGGATGTGCTCCGCGCCCGTGCGCGGCTGGCAGAGGCACACGTGTGTGCGCGTCCTGCCGGGACTCGGCGCTGCTCTTTGTTACACCCTCTTTGGGGAAGTTTGGGGAGAAGATGCACCTTCCTGGTGGTCAGGTTCTTCCTGCCTTTGTCTGTCTGTCGCTCGTTTTTATTCTTTGAGTCGTTAACTGCAATATCTAAGGATTTGGAGCAGCGTCTTGTATGGGGAGGGTTTCACCAGCTCTCAGTAGTCCTAAATCACACAGGTGAAGTTTTGTGAAGTTCAGTCAAAGTGAAAATTTCTCACCTAGAGGCTCTTCCTTCTAATATTTTAAAATATTTTGTGGTAAATGCTTGAAGTTTGTTTTCCCATTCCATTTCCGTGTGTTTATGTTTTTATGAATGAAATTAACACGGAAAAGTTTGCACATGGAACTTTCACTTACAACCTCTTGTTTCTGTTTCATTTTAGCTTTTCTGGCTCTCCCTCAATGCGTGGCTCTTCTGGAAAACCTTCCTGCTCTATTATCAAGGGCTGCAGTATTATTATCTGCATCAGATGTTAGGGGTGAGTGACCCGGACGTTACTTTTTGCCCTGGAAACTGGGATGCTGGGAGATGGGCAAGGGACAGAATGCTTTTGCTAATCAAGGCTGACACAAACTGTCTGCTCATGCCGCAAAGCGGGAAAAGATCAAGTAGGAAATTACTGAGGTACTGCTGACAGTTGTTTAGGTGTAGAAAGTGAACAGTGTTGTGAAAAAAAGAGCCAGTGAAGTGTGGGACCACTATCCACTCCCCTCCTCTCCTCCCTCCCCCCGGTGTTCCCAGCTGCAGACAGGCTCGCGGGAACTGAAACGTGCTCAACAGAGGACTGGAGCTCAACTTCTTGTCATCAAAATGTTTGCCAAACTTATGGGCTCGTGCTGGCAAATTCTGTCTAAGCCAGTTATTGTGACACGTATTTGCTAAAGGAATTCTTTTGATAAGACTTAATTCAGGCTTTTTCATCCTCATAGATCCTTTGTTCTGTGTAAATCATTGTGATCTATATAATTTTACTTTTGTTTTCTAATAACAAGTTCTTGGTATCTGAATGGCATAATGAAAATCTGATTATTTTGATTTAGGAATGGTAAAACCACCACTGGAAGAACCCCAAAAGAATATCTGGGGAAGTGAGATACTGGTCTGTTTTGTGAAGTTATCCACAGCTGCTCCACTGCAGTTGTTTGAAACAACTTCTGACCAAAGGGATAGACTAAGGGTGAACAGCTTTCTGGGGAGTGGGTTTCTCAGAATTTGAGAATCCAGGAAAAAGTGTATGAATAACGTGATGCTGTGTAACACTATGTCATACTCACGCATGGGTTTCAATGGAAAGTTGACACGGGGTTAAAGCATGGGCATCCTAACCTGCTGTAGTGCCTCGAAGTTTTATCTTTGGGAGATCCAGGATGTGTTTTGTTCATATGGTTGATATCATTGCCATAGCTAGCCTGTTCCATAAGTTTTTGGGAATTTGCTTGAAAGCAAGTTGACATGATGCACTTTTTTCTTTTTTTTTTCATTTATGGCTGACTCAGATGTGTTCAAGAAATTAACCTTACCAAAGGTAGTACAAAGCAAAGGGAAAAAAACCCCTTAAATTCTTCATGATGATGACTTTCTTGCCAGAAAAAGCATGAAAACACATTTAATTTTACCGTAATCTCTGATGGCTTTGCAACCCAGTGCCTCCATTTGAAAACTGTTTGTTCCTGGCAGAGCAAGTGGGTTGTTTATAAAGCAGAAGTTCTTGGGTCAGCATGTTGGGCCAGATTGTCAGCTGGTATCAATCAGCAAAGTTCCTCTCAATTCAGAAGAATCATCTGCCTTGTACCAGCTCATCCTCTGGTCTTTTTTTCATTTTTTTATGCTTCACAATGAAAGACACGTGCAGAGAAATATAATGTGGGTTCAGAACCTGTGAGATGATTCAAGCAACAGTTTCCTTGTCTTGGTCAGGAGATGACGACCAGGAGGCCATGTGTTTGAATTTGTCTAATTGTGTCTTCAACAGTGGGGAAAAAAATACCAAATTGGTTTAGAGACTCTAAAATTAGGAGGAAAGCGAAGAGCTAAAAGTCTAAAAGATACTTTGGGTCAAAGTTTGGAAACTAGTGTAAAATTTTTGAAAATATTAAGGGCTGTAAAACCTTCTCATAGTTCACTTTTTACAGTTTTTCTAAATATAATCCTTAGACCCCAAAGTTAGCTTTCTCCCTTCTTTTCAATATATTTGTATATACGTATAAAGCAAACAGTTTATTTTTCAAGGTTGGGAAAACTGAACCCAACCCAAAACTGAATTTTAGTCTGTTAACAGAGTAAGCATGTCTGTACCACAGGTGCTGTCACTTTCCATGGGGATCTTTGCTCCTCTTCTTTTTCTATATTGGTTTGTAGCTACTGGCCCATGGCTCTTCTGCATCACCAGTCTCCTCCCTTTGTCTTAATAGCATGAACTTTTTTACAGATACTTTCATGAAAATTGATTCTTTTTTCCATCCATTTAACAAAAAAGGACAAAAAGGAATGGCATTTTTTTGAATAATAAAAAATATTCTCTTGTTTTTCAGTGAGGTGTGCTGAGGAGTTTTTTCATTTGTACGGTACAATAGCCTAAAGTCTCCTTAAGAACTTTTGCACTTGCAGCACTGAAAGATTTACCACAGGTTATTTTATTGTTTGCCAAGTAACAGGATGGAGAACAAGAAGAGCTGCTGTAGGAAACCAGACTGTAATATGAAATGAGATCTTGGCCTGAATATCATGAATATATTCAGCCCTGCCACGTTTTCATGCCATGCCTTTTCTTTCTGATGTGAAGAAGGAGAAAGAATGTTAGTCTTTGAGTCAGGGGTCACTGAAGTGGTTCACTTTCCTTCAGCATTCTACAGAAGAAGGAGGCTCAGTTTTATTCTTTTCCAATTGCGTCCTCTGCGACCTTGAACAAGATACTTAGCACAGGATCTCAGAATTACTGGGTTACCTAACTCTCACTCAGTCTTTCAATGACAATCTATCTGATCCTTAATTCTATACCTGTAAAGAAGCACTAAGAGTGTGGTGTGTTTTGGAAGTGCAAGGAGAATAAGTAAGTCAAAGACACTGATGTGCTAGGAGAAGGTTAATCAGCTTATTCTATGCTGCAAAATTTAGTGGGTAAATTTATGTTGTGTCAAATTTCACTGATTTGCGTAGTTTGAGCCCTGTTGATGAGACCATGAACTCTTCACTGTGGAATCTCCATCCCTGGAGCTTTTCAAAAACTTGGGGGTTTTGCGCAAAAAAACCTGAGTTTGGTGTTGAACCTGCTTAGAGCCGGAGGTTGGAACAGAGGCATCCCGAGGTGGCTTCCAACCAGAGTAATTCTGTGACTATATGATTCTTGTGGTGTGAGTTCAGCCAGAACCTAGTGGATATAAACCCCTTCCCACTACTTTTGCCTTGATGAAATGTCCCTTTGGACACTGAATTGCTTGTAGCATTGTAAATCATAGTCTTACTGCATGAATGCAGTCATTGCTGCTGATTCAGGAGCATGAATCTCAATTTTTCATAATTTAATAAATGCTAACTTGTGGCCTTAGGTTTCTTAAAAAAGAGGAGCCTGGGAAACACCCTGCAGGCATAGGTTTCTGTTAAGAGTGTGGCAAAGAGGAAAGGACTATTCCCATCTTCATGATAGATACTACAAGATGTAGTTGGCCTGAATTACAGAAGGGAAGATTCATAGGTTACTTGATGTGACTCCAAAATCTCCATTGCGGAAGGTGAGGGAAATTGTCTAGATAATGAATTTCTTTGCAGACCTTGACATTTCTCTTTTCAGATTAGCTTGGCTGTGTTTTTTTCCAACAAGTTTGCTTGTGTCTGACCAGAAATTCAGTGCTGAATTCGGTACCAGCATTATTATAGAACTCAAATCTTGCTTTTAACATAGTTAAATGAAAATCCTGTTTCTTGTTGCTTGAGTTCTTCATGAACAGAAAGAGCATTGGGCTCATTTTGTCATGGTGTGAAAGGTCTCTCTTTCCCCATTCCCTCTCTATTCTCTGCTCAAATGCCTCTAATGTAGTCAAATGGTTGCTAATGCAAGAGATAAGCTTCTGGGTTTCAGACCAAAGTGAAGAAAATGCATTCTTAGAAGGATCACTTTGGGAAAAGGTTGAATAACTGAAAAGGAGACTGAAAGAGAGAACTGCTGCCTCAATTCTTTTATCTATACAGTTGCTGCCTTACTGTGCAGTACTGTACATCAAATTTATGTCATCTTTATTCACTGCTTGGAATCTGTTCCAGATGTTCCAGTAACTTTCATGTCTCTCCTTGCTAGTTTATTGTAATGACAGAAATTTTACTGAGTGAGGCCAAATTCTGCTTTCATTGATCCTTATGCAACCACACTGCAACCTGCTTCCCCCACACATGTAAGCACCAGGGGGAGTTGCGTATCTTGGCCTTTTATTTTCATTAATGCAGCATGGTTTTGCTATTTGTCTTGTAAACAGGCTGTTTGGGATTTGCTCTTTAGAATGTTACATGTAGCAAAAATGTTTGCTAATAGATTTATGTTGCTATGGAGGATATATATATATATAAGTATGCACATGTAGAATTCTTTAATGAAGACTGAGGGAGATACTCCATAAGACCTTATCTTGAATTTGCAAGTAAATCTCTTCTTGCATTCTCTTTGCCTCATTCTACATTTTTTGCTTTGCCAAAACACTTCTTTCCTTCAACCCTTTGTCCTTCCTGAACATCCCACAGGTCAGCATCATTCCTGAGATTATTCTCGATTATGAGCCAGAAGAACTTGGGTTTTGAACCATATAGTTCTTCTGCTTGCTTGCATTTTTTTTTTAGACTCATACGGCAGTAAACCTGTGAAGAACATCTATATTATTAACTTCTATGGGAAAACTTCGACCTTTGCAGAACTTCTTGTGAAAGTCTCAATAGTGGAGGTTGAATTAGTAGAGGTGCATCTTAAATAATTAACTGAAATTTTTATTACTGTATCATGTAGGCTTGTGTTAAAAATTGTCTTGTTGTCATCATTGATCCTTGTTCTAAGTTGATCATGGCATAATACTCTGTGTAGAAGAGAAATGAACTGTGGTCAGAATGTTTCTTTGGTTGATTGGTCAGTATATTATGTATTATTGCTGGACTCCCATGGTATTCCAACAATGTCAGGTCTTAAAATAAAAATAGATGCATTACACTCCATAAGGCTGTTTTTACAGACGATATTACCTACTGTCTTGTGATAAGGTGAAATAATTAATTATAAAGGAAGCCCTAAGTAGCAAACCTTGCATCGCATCTGTGTGACTGTGATTCCTGCTCTGGCCATGAGTTGCAGTGTGTTGTGAATCTCTTGGGGGGGACTTGGTTACCCTTAATCCCTTAATTCATGACCAAATTTTCTCATATCATGCTGCATCATGCAGTATAAACCATTCAAGCTCTTGTTGCTAATTAATGTATGAAATATGGTCATGCTTTGTGATGTTC